GAAAGGCTGCACAGCCAAGAGAGTTATGAATAATAAGAGAATTGTTAAGAGGGGAATGATGGAGATAGAGGGGAGGAGAGAAGTGAGAAAAGTTAGAGAGAGAGCGAAAAAATTGAATGAAGGAATCTGACGACGAAGAAGTCTATTATCCGAATCTGCTTCATCAGCATAATGAATTTCATTATGTGGCTGAAGGAAAAACTTGAAAATCATAATAAAAAACTTTTTGTTTTTATGCAAAAAAAAAATGCTGAAAGTTACTTCTCGTTTGATGAAGTTGTGGATACAGCGTGAGTCTTGTTTGAGAAGAACAATTAAACAGGTAATTTATGAGTAAGAATAGACGTCTGAAGTGATAGAGAGATGAGTTTAGAGAGATAGTGAGAATGAAAGAGAAACTTGAGATCCGAGCTTCAAGGGTTAGATAAAGAGAGAGGAAGAGGAAAAAAAAGAGAAAAAGACGGATTTGGAGAATAAAATGAACGGATGACATTGAAGCTTGATGGAAAAGCTACGGTGGTTTGTTGAAGTTGGGGTGTCGTCGTCGTCACAAAACATCAGATGTCTCCATTTCTAAAAATCATGAAGGAAATATTCATTTGGTGAACATGAAGACATCTGTGTCACGACAGGTGAAATTATAATCAGATAGAATATATTGAGATTTGAGGACTATATGCCGGAATAACCGATGAATGATGATGATGAGGGGGATGATTATGACGAAGGCGGAGGAGATGATTGGAATTGTCTGTTTAGAGAGAATTTTTATCGTTGATATGTTGAAAAGTCTATCGGAAGAAAGAAGCAAAAGCTTAATCCCATCTAGTTAGCTTCACTTCAATGAATTAGGTTGAAACAGCTTAATATGAGCTTGTTCGAATGTAAAATAAGAAAGAACCCAGGAGGCTTCAATGAAATACAATTAGCTCAAATCTATACATTTACATATGAATTTGTATATAGAAAACATCTGATATATACAACAAAAAAATAGAAAAAAAAAGGATAGAGAGAGAGTGACAGATGAGGAGGGTGGAAAGAGAGAGAGAGAGTGGAGAAAGAAGAGAAAATCGGTTTCGATGTCTACAGCTTGAAACATACACGGAATAGAAAAATATGTATTTCCAAACAAACTTTTGTGTGTGTGTATGTGTGTTGCTCAAAACCTTTTTTTCGTGAAAAAAAAGGCAATGGAAAGATGGAAAGATCTAGCCAGGAGGGAGTCACATGCTCATCTGAGCTGCAAATTATATTAAAGTCTCTCAAGCGATTACTGACAATCTAGACAAGTATCAAGAAGTGGTTGAACAGATGTTTTAAATATTATAATTCATTTTATGATGATGATGATAAAATATAAATAGATAACATCATAATCTCTATGATTATCAAACAGTAGACACTAACTATATCATATAAATGAGCAAAAAAATGTCATTGGCATTGAAGACAGCAATGACAACGACGACGTCGACGTCGACGTCGAGCCTTGCCGGGGCGGAGGAGGAGGGCCTCGGCAGCTTTCAGCCCAATCGATCAGACACTGCCCGGCAGAAAAGCTTGAGGGCTAGGCCTCGAGCTGGGACTAAAAAGGAAAACGAAAAGATGCTTGGCATCAGAGAGAGAGCAGGCCTGAGGCAAAGATGGTGTGACGTATGAGCGAGACATGCAATACATGAGAGAATTCAAGATAATCGGATATGAACGCAGTCTGTGAAAGATATAGGGGCAAGAGATAAAGAGAAAATGAAAAAAGAACGAATTAGAAAGGAAGTCGGGGTAACTGAACGACTTACGTGCCATTCGATTACTCTCGTTGTCTTGCTCTCCTTATCTGACAAACTCTTTCATTCAACTTCCCGTTTTGGAGCAAAAATACATTGATTAGG